AATTACTTCCAAGTTCTGTCGAAGATATACTGCAATTCCTCCATTTTTTCGTGTATCTGCATTATAGTCTCTATCTCTACGGTATAGGTTATATGATGCCATTGCAACAACGGAGTCTGGAATTTTATTGTTTAATTAAGTGGGTTTCCGACACGACACATATGTCAATATCTGAAGCGCATAAATCCGCTTCTAACGCCACTGAAGCTTGTACTCGATTTTTCGTTTTCTTAAGATTGCATATGTTAATAAACAGTGATTTAGGTACTGGAAACGATTAATTTTCCATTTGTATGTGTTCAGGACAATGCTGTATAACGCAAGTGGCCATCGAATTTCTCAATTGTGTTAAATTGCCGATCTTTTTCTTCTGGTGAAATTAACACCTTGCTGAGTCCTGTTACAAGGATTTGAAATCGGAAATATCTTTTCAATTTATTTTCTCACGCTGGCCCCCACAACTTTTCGGCTGATTTCCATGAGGGGCGTGAACATAACCTATTTACAAAATACTATTTACATTGCCAAATTGCATGGCTAACGAGCCAGTTTCGACTCATTTTTGTTTCAAAATCGTTTTAGGTAATCGCTATCAACGTTCCAATTTGTCATTTCTATTTTCTCTACGAAATAACGAGAATATTGCTCCATTCATTGCAAACATGAAACCTGGCCACCAACAGAATGCTATATATTGTTACCCAGATTATGGCCCAACTTTTGGAGGAAGTCATGATGTACATGTTAGTAATAACGCTAATGGCAATCAAGGATCTTACAGCGGTTTTGGGTTCTCCTATCAAGCACCCCCTGGCACGGTAGAAGCTAATTCTCTTTTAGCTGGTAGTCGTACATTCACACCAACTGAAATAGAGGTATTTATTTGAACTGCACTGATTGTCCTTCTCACCACAATGATGGCACGCATGCATATGGTTTCTTGAGAAGTATGAGATCCACACGTGTCTATACCATATACTGTAATGGATATTTATTTATTACCGGTTTCAGGTCACTTTTCACGGCGCGTTTCCGAATTTTTGTTGTGAATATTCCTAATTACGATTTTAAATTTCGAATATTGAGTAAATGCAGTTTCGTATGTTGCTTATTTAATTACAACTTTATATGTTGAGTACTTGGATACTTTAGTTTAGTACTTCGCCGCTTCAGAAAGTAACTTGCAAAGTTGGTTTTGCAGTTCAACGCCAAATATTAGACTAAGAAATTCTTCTTGAAAAACAAAATGTTTGAATAATTTGTGCTCCCAAGGGTAGCTATATCTTCAACAGGGTTGTAATTCTGAATAGATTCAAAACATTTTCACGTAATTGCATGGAGAAACGTGAATGCTTGTTAGTTATTGCGACATTAGAGGAGCTGAATGAAACTATGAAAGCTGTCTCATAGCAGACACCGGATCGTTTTTTCTGAACTTAGCCGTTTGTATAAGGTTATTTGAAAAAGCTTCAGTTTATTTTACAGTGATAAAATTCCTTATAGCTCTCAATCTCCTTTTGAAATTGAGACCGCGTCGTCAAGTTTTCCTTGTCGTCTTCTCTAAAGCCTGTTTTCCCATTCAACCGTATCGTAACGTAACGTAACGTATCGTAGCATTTTCTTTTGTGTCTAAGTCATTAGTTCCACTCTAGTGGTCAGGAAACAAAGAAATACGCTTCGCTTCGCTACGATACGATTGAAGTGGAAAACAGGCTAATAAGTCTATTATGAATTTAAGAAACGTAGCTGGGAATATTCACAACAAACTTGGGAACCGTACCTTAAGAATTGAAGAGTTATTCAATGATAAATATAATTCACTATTGATTAATTTGGATCAAGTAGGGTCAGTTAGGAACCAAAACACTATTAGACCTCTATTTATATGTACATGTATGTCTAGACGATTTGCAATTAATGTTGTCTCTGTCTCATGTACAATGAATGGACGTTTCGGTCAAAATACTGTAGAAAAAGTGCTATAATATATACACAAGTTTCATATTATTCTGACACTGCAATCAACCAACGAAAAATTCGTTGGTTCGAGCGGGATTTGAACTCGGGATTTGATTTAGATACCCGAAGATGCGAGTTCAAATCCCGCTCGAGCCAACGAATTTTTGGTTGGTCGATTGCAGTGTCAGAATAATATGAAACTGGTTTTCGTATCTCTGAGGATGGTTCTGAAAAAGAAGTATATATACAAGATTAATAATTTGGCCTACACTAAACACATGCTGGCGTTGTTCTTCGAGTATTGCGGTAGGAAAACGATCATTTTTAAATTTCTAAAATATTTTATTTTTTGTACAAATAGCTGAAATTGTTTTGTACAAGTAGCTATATTTTTGCTAAATTTCGACAATCTGTAACGCATTATGTATTTATCTCACTCGTTTGAATAATAGTTGAAGGGTATTGATGTTAATTTTCGAGTGCAAATTTAAACGTTTATTGCCATTGGATTTAACATAATTAGCCTTTCTCACGCCGCCACTTTTGGGGTACTCTAATTTTTCGAATGTCTACAAAAAATTTAGGAATAAACTTAACCATTTGTTACGGATTGCCAAACGTAAATATTATGAAGGAAAACTTGAGAATGCTAAATCAAATACCAAAAATACTTGGAAGATCTTAAACGAAGTACTAAATAAGAAACGACGACTAGGAAACTACCCTCCAACTTTACAGTTGACAATCAAAATGTTTCTGATCCAGTAGAGATTGCAAATTACTTTTGTGATTATCTTACTAATATTGGCCCAAATTTGGCAAAACTATTCCTATAACGTCTAATTCGTATATGTCTTTTCTCACAGGCAACTTTGTAGATTCCATATTTTTAGATTTAACTACCGAACCTGAAATAATAAATATTGTAAATTCTCTTCGTTCTGGTATTGCAGCAGGATATGATAAGATCTATTTTTGGTCTGTGAAAGGTTCTAGTGCCTTAATTTCGAGCCCTTTGGCACATCAAGTTAATGGACACGCGTTGAACTTCATATAAGAATCATTTAGTTAACATTACGTAATGCTTTCGCGCACATGCGCAGTGGAAAAAGGTTACTCGTGCTTTTAAACAAACTTAAGACATAATGTAAAATTTATATTAAAAAAACACAAAACAACACAAGTTATCTCTTCCTGCACCGTTGGCGTATCTATTTATTGGTCCTTCGAGCCGGATTCAACGTCTGAATCAGCGAATATTTCGTCGTCTATCGATTAGACACGCTTCAATATGCCTGTGCAAGAAGAGCGAGCAACGTTTATACACAAAAGAAGCCTTGTTAAACGAAGATTTACCAACTTTGAAAAGAAAATAACTACACTTGTAGTGAAAGAAGAAGTCACGGACTATGACATGGTATGTGTTAAACAATTTCTCAGCGATATTCAAGACTTAGATCGACAGTTTCAAAGCATACACGAACAGGCTGGTGAACTTGCCCTTAATCTTGAAGATTCAGATTTAGTTGAAAAGGATAATGAAGAATTAGAAGTGCATGATGATCGAGTAAGAGAAAATAGCAGTAAACTTATGTATTTTACTATGAGATCCAAACCAGATCCAAAAAGAATTAATACCAGTCTCAATGCAAATAAAGATAGTGATGACAAGAAAGGAAATTTATAGAGCGAAAGTGGAAGCGATTAAACCAAGATATGAAAAGTGCAATCATTAAAGTGGAAACATGACAGTGGCAAAAACTGGACTGAGACCTGTGCCGAATTAGAGTCAAATCAAGAAAGTATAGTGTCCCTCATTAGTGAGCAACGTCAACAAGAAAAAGCAAGAAAAGAAAAGAAAAGGAACAAGAAAAACTACTAATACAACAAGAGGAAGAACGAAAACGATATGAAGCCGAAGTAGAAGTTAGAAACCAACAGCACCGAGATGAAATCAATAAACTTATTGAACACTTCTCCAGCTCCTGTTCTGAACAACAGAAAACCATTAGACTTGCTGAGTTAAACATTCCAACCTTTGATGGCGAATCAACCAACTGGAAATCATACTGGCAACAGTTCGAAGCTACAATTCATAAATCTACTAAAATCACTGACCAGTTGAGAATGCAATATCTTCTGAAATCACTTACAACTCAGAAGGCGAGGGCTGCCATAAAAGGCATTGATGCAAAAGCCGAAGCATATCCTGAAGCAATAGAATCACTGAAAGCCCGCTTCGACAGACCAGAAGTCATTCATCGTGCTCATGTACGAGCCTTACTCAAATCAAGGTACCTCAAAGATGGATCATCTTCAGAATTGAGAAATCTACACGATACATCTCAACATCATCTCAAATCACTCAAAGCTTTAAAGAAACTGAATTTCGGACAGTTTATCACAGCACTTGGTGAAAGTAAGCGTGCCCCACTACCATGATTGAATGGCAAAAGTTCACTCAAGGTGAAACTGATGTTCCTGACTACAAAAAGTTCTTGGACTTCTTGGACCACAGTTAATAGAAGGGGGATGGTTAGGCTAGCGTACCACGTGACAAAATATGTTATTGTCCACTTTTTATTTTGATCATGTGACCAATAAGCGGTATCAGACGCTCAAAGCTCAAATTATATTCATGAGCGAACATACAGCTGTTTAACGAATACTGTGTATTTCTTCCACTGTTTACTTCGCTGATTCAAACTATTATATTAAGAGGAGTTCTTGGGCATATGGGTGGCGGTAATTGCG